GTGGACAAATTGGGAAGTACAGCTTCTTTGGATAATTTTGTACTTTGATCTGAGAATCCTTCAGGCATCTCATCTACAGACTAGGTTCTTTTATCCTAATATTTAGCCCTTCCAGAATTTCTTTTGCCTGAGGAGTTCAAAGCTTTTTGCAGACTCTGTAGAGTTTTCTTTGTGAAGACACAGGGCTTGTGAGAAGGTGGTGGAAAGCAGGGAGAGTGCTGGAAGGTCCTGGGTGTTCCCCTCTTGGTTTCCCTGCCCCTTCGGCTGCCAGCAGCAGCAGGAAATGAAAATTCTTTTGGGATGTGGCAACTCTGACTCAAGAAGAAGAGTTCTATTCCACAAAACCATCTTCCAGGGTGAATTTTATTTTCATTTAGTGTTGAATAGAGTGCAGTCACAGGTAAGCAGTGCAAAGTTCAACTGGGTGTCCTCAAATGGGATTTTGGGATTTTCCACAATTTGGAATTGCTGGCTCTGTGTGAGGGTGGGAGGGCAGAGAGCTGAGCTGGGTGTGGTGCTGCCTGTGAGGTGTCTGAGGGAGAATTGACTGCTGCATAAACCTGAACAGCTTTTTCCCAGTTAGCCTTTGCACAAAGCTGAATGTTACCCAGGAGTTGTGTGGCTGGCTGGAAACAGAGGGCTTTTTCTGGGCACCACTGAGCTGCCTTCCAGTGGGAAAGGGAGGAGAGGGAGCTGTGGGAACAGGAGGGGCTCTGTGCCAGTTCTCAGGGTCAGGAACAAGCTGGAGCAGGCAAACAGGTACCCAGCCAGCTCCACCAGCAGAGCTCAACTCAGCCTTGCTAGGCCTGAATTAAATCAGCATTAACAGAGCACAGGAGAAAGAAGGTTTTCACAGGGATAAACTGTGAGTCTGCTTAACAAGCAAGGGATACAGGAGCTCTCGCTGCCCTGGGAAGTCTCCCAGCTCTGCAGTATCACAGATTTTATGGACACATTGCTAGGTGTGTGTTAGGAGTGGATATTTTGCAGTGGCACCTTGAGCAGCCCCTGTGTGTCAGTCAGATGAACTGCTGCGCTTTGGGCTGGAATTCTGCTGTGCAATGTCTGCAGTCCCATTTTTGGTTAGAAAATTCAGAGTTCAAAGATATCCTAAATGCTTCCATGTTCTCTAGGGATGGCAGTTTGCAGGTCACAATTCTGGTCTGGGGCTAAGGGGAATGGATAGATTAAAAAACCCAATCTCCAACAGGTCAGATCCTGAGAACTGTGAAAAGGACCCAAGGTCCTGAGAACTGTGAAAAGGACCCAAGGTCCTGAGAACTGTGAAAAGGACCCCAGGCTGGTCCTCTCCAAGTGCTCTTGGCTCACACTCAGCTGTTTGTGTGGCTGATCTGAGAGCTCCTTGCTGGAGGAGCTGGGATGGTGTCCCTGGCAATTCCAGCCTTGGGGATAAAGGTGTTACAGGATGGAGCTCCCCAGGGCACAGCTGAATCAGAATGACACACACCAAAAGCTGATTTTTGATTTTTTTTAAAACTTTTGCTACTTATTGCAAGCATGCTTTGTGTGTCTTTCACCCATCTTAGAAAAATGTGGGATGGCATGGAAGACAAAGTACAGCAAGTTCACCTGAGAACCAGGTACACCTACAAGTGTGGAAAGCTGTCTGAAATCATCTGAATAACGTGGTTTGTACTCATTATCCTGGCAAGCAGAATTTCCTGCCTGTGTTGGTAGCCTGCTTGCTACAGTTAATCAGCAACCTGCCTAATCTCACTAACCTTCTTTTGGTAGCCTGCCTAACTATTGTGTAATCTGCTTATGGCACCCAGCCCTGACTATTAGTAGCAAGTTTGGAGCTGTGCAGGTGCAAATATTCCTATTTTCAGTCCTGGTGACAGCTGCCTTTCATGGTGCTTGTGCTCATGAAATTCAGCCCGGTCTCATGGTGGTAATGATGAGAAAATAAGGGTATTTCTGACCTGCTAACATCTGCCTCCTCTGTGCCACAGCCCCTGAGCTGTGGGGGATTGTCCCAGGGGCTAATCCTGGGATGCAGCTCCATGGGACACGGATCATGGCTGGCCACAGCTGCTGGGGACATCCTGCTGGCCCTGTCACCTGCTGCCCTTCACCCCTGGGACTCTCTTCATCATGCCCTGGCACCCCTGATTTCTCTGCTCCAGCTGATTGCTGTTGTTTTAGCAGACAGGAGAAGCAGGAATTTGTCTGATACTGATTGTAAGTCTTTGTTAATTCCTCAAATTCCTGGAATTCCTATTGAAGAAAGAAGCAATTTTGAGTTTTGCTGGAGTATGCAAGGGTTTTTGTTTTTTGTTTTCCTAAAGCCAAGTAATTACCAAAAGAGATGTAAATCTATAATTCCACTGAAGGGTGAGGAGGACAGACACCAAACTATTTAAAATTTTATCTCATTTTATCTAATTTTTCTGATTAGTTTCATGTTTGTAAGCCAGCAGCTGCCATATCTTGTAATAATGGACTAAACAGTATTCCTGGACAAATGTATTCTGTACATAAACTCATGTTAGACTTCAGCTCGTGGGCAATGGGGCAGACACACTGTTAGAAATAATTCTTAATAATATATTTTGATCTTTAGAGTGCCTATTACCTGCCAAGCTCAGGCAAATGTTTTGCTTGCTGCCATGAGAGAAGCCTTGAGGATTCCACGTGAGACCAGAATGAATTCCAAACCAGGGATGGGTTTAAACATTTCCTTCAAGAATTTGAATTCTTTTGTTATTCTCTTCATCTGGAGCAGCTGTAAAAGGTCATGATGCAATAATTTTTTCCTCAGAGGAAAAGGGAACATAACCTGCTTGGTGTTGTGATAACTCTGGACAGGAGGGGATGGTTTCTGGAGGAAGCAATATTGCAAATACAAAAAATGCTTCAAAAAGCACAATATCCCACACTTCTGGCTTGTTATGTCAGAATATAAATATAATTGTTATACAGAAACACTATTCTTGCACTACAAAATTTTTTCATACTACAGTTCACATGCAGTTACCCCCTTCTTCCCATGTGGTAGTTTAAATCCTTTTTTTCAGATACACCTTCCTCATTTTCTTTGCAAATTTTTGAACATGTTCCTACTTTTGTGCTGTGGCCATTAATTAAAATACTAAAGACAGAATATTCAATAATCTGTGAGAAACTTTTCTATTCCTCTCCCTCCTGCTAGGTGGCTTCCCTGAAAGCATAACTCATCAGTATTTCTCCTCTAATGAGCTTTGTGCCTTAAAATGCTTCTATTACATCACCTTTAGATTTTGATTTTGACCATGTTGAAGTTATTGTTTTTTTTTTTTTAAAATAGTTTTGGGAGTTTTTTACCAGTACTCTCATCTTATTAGTTATTCTGGTTTCTCTACATTTAAATCATCCCTTAAAATGCTTCTATTACATCACCTTTAGATTTTGATTTTCACCATGTTGAAGTTATTGGGGTTTTTTCTTTAAATACAGTTTTGGGGTTTTTTTCCAGTGCTCTCATCTTATTAATTATTCTAGATTCTCTACATTTAAATCATCTTCTTTGGGGGAAAAAAAAAGAAGAAACAAAAGAGGTCAAATCATGACTTGGTTTTTAGGCCAGACTCTTTTCATCTCCTGACAGGTGTACATGGCTCTTCTTTGCTTAAAATATTTTTTACTGCTGTGCTTTGCTTCATGAGGTTTAATTCACCCTGACCTGTGTGTCTCCATGTCTCTTCTGTCATCTCTGATTTTTCTTTGCTTTTTAATTCCTAACTGGAATGTTTATCCCTTTATGTTTGTAATGCAATTTCTGAACAGCTTTTTTGACTTAAATCTCATTATCCTCCCTGACAGAGTCTGAAAACTCTGCTGCTCCAAGTGATTTCCATAAGTGGTTCCTTTAATACCTCGAGGTTTGCTCACCCATTCATGAGGATCTTTCTTTTCCTAAAAAAGTTTGGTTTCTTTCAAATATTTTGTTGGCACTTTATATCCTAGAAATGCTTCCTGGAAATCTTGGGAAACCATAATCAGTTGGATCTCCTTAGTCCACACAATTCTGTTTTCCTTTTCCAGAAATGCTAACAAAAGCTGAGGCATAGCCTCCAAAAGCTGTCCTAACTCTTCCTGGTTATATCTTATTTATCATATTTATTTTGTAATTATTAAGGTTTATATTTAAAATATTGAAAAGTTCAGTGACAAACTCAATCTAAATTTTACACAGGTTCCCAACTCCTCCTAAAACCTTAAAAAAGCATTGGCTTTGCTACTTTCTCTACATTCAGAGGAATTTTAGTAGTATTTTCAATCCCTGTCTTAGTAGTTCAATAATTACATATTTGTTCTTTTAGAACACTAAGGTGAGTGCTGTCAAATCTCAGAAACACATTTGACTTTTTTCCTTTGAAATCACTTCAAATAATCTGAGAAAAAACTCATAATTTAGAGCTGCTCTGCCTTCTTTCAGAAAAGGATTTGGTTTCCTAAAGGAACAAGTACCATCATTCATTTGTGATTGGTAATTGTAGAACTCCTCAGACTTACAGAATATTGACAACCACAAGCAAAAATCCTTGTGAAGCAAGGATTAGTCATTTCACAGATATTTTATTCAAGTTTTAAAAAAGTTTCAAATTCACATTAGTTATGTTCACACTTGAAAAATAAATAAAAGTAAGAATGCTCAAAAAAATTTCCAAACACACAGAAACTGTGTAACAAAACAAGGAGGAAAAAAATGACAGATTTTTTAGCAAGAAAGTCAGTAATAGTAGGGGAAGGTAGTACTGATGTAAGAAAAAAATCCAAATCCCAAACATTGTTTTTGAGAGTTTTTTTGTGGAGTAGCTGAAGTCCTGAGTAGCCAGTGTGTAAGAAGAGGTATTAAAGCACTCCCCTGCATGGTTTCATACAACTGGAGTTACCTGAGGTAAAAAGATCCCCCTTTTCCAGGGATAAAATGGCAATTGCTGCTCCAAAATCTGCCCTGGCTTTGCCTGGAGCCTCAGCACTTGCACAGCACCGGTAAAAAGATCCCCCTTTTCCAGGGATAAAATGGCAATTGCTGCTCCAAAATCTGCCCTGGCTTTGCCAGCCCATGGGAGGAGCTGGACTGGAGCTTCAGCACTTGCACAGCACCCTGTGTAATTTATTATTTATTATTATCAAACAGTGAGGCTGCAGCTCACTTTAGGAACAGAGGTGCACCAATGTCACAGAAGAGTGCAACAAAGAAGAGTAATACAAAAGTAAATGATTTTCTTGGTGAATAGTAGCAGCTTGAGCTTTCTTACTGGAAAACAAACAGAATTCCTGCAGGGGCAGGTCTCCTAAACTGAGAGGTACAAATTCACAGAATTTTGGGTGTGTAGCAAAGCACCAAGTTCTTCTCTGGTGTCTGATAAAGTTTTTACCAATATACCTTGATCTTTAGAGTGCCTATTACCTGCCAAGCTCAGGCAAATGTTTTGCTTGCTGCCATGAGAGAAGCCTTGAGGATTCAAGAACAGAATGAATTCCAAACCAGGGATGGGTTTAAACATTTCCTTCAAGAATTTGAATTCTTTTGTTATTCTCTTCATCTGGAGCAGCTGTAAAAGGTCATGATGCAATAATTTTTTCCTCAGAGGAAAAGGGAACATAACCTGCTTGGTGTTGTGGTAATTCTGGACAGGAGGGGATGGTTTCTGGAGGAAGCAATACTGTTAATACAAAAAGTGCTTCAAAAAGCACAGCCAGCAGTGGAAGAGGTTCCTGAGCCCCAGCCCTTCCTCAGTGTCCTTCCTCATCACTGGCCTCCTCCTCAGAATCATCACTCTCATACTCCTCATCCTCATACTGGAAAGCACCCTCAGTTTCAGGGTCAGACTGAGCTTCCTCTTCATGGGACCCATCTGACCTGGGTCTGCACTCATCCTCCTCCTCCTCCTGGGAATGACCACGGGATGGGCCTGCCTTGGCTTCCTCCTCCTCTTCCTCCTCCTGGGAATGGTCCAGACATGGGCCTGCTTTTGCTTCTTCCTCCTCCTCTTCCTCCTGGGAATGACCATATGATGGGCCTGCCTTTGCTTCCTCTTCCTCCTCCTCTTCCTCTTCCTCCTGGGAATGGCCAAGTGACAGGTCTGCCTTGGCTTCCTCCTCCTCCTCCTGGTCACTGTGCCAGCTGGATTCAGGCTCAAGGACACCAGGGCTGCCTCTGGCCTCACCCCCATCCTCCAGGTCACTGCCCTGCTCATCTGGGGTGGAGGTTTTGACACCTTTACCCTCCTCTTCCTCCTCCTCCTCCTCCCAGGACTGCTCAGACTGGGAACGGCCACCAGCTGCTTCCTCAAATAATTCCATCTTTTTCATTTTAACCTTGGTGACTCTGTAAAGACAAATTGCATGTGGGGTTTTATTCTCTGGGAAGATGCTTTCCACCTTTATGTAACCCAGGACAAAGCCTGGTAGCCTTGGCTGGGGTGGAACTGGAGAAGGAAAAGGGAAGGGGGGACACAAGAGTCTCTTTTTATGCTAGAAAGTAACAGTATTACTTATATATTCCTTTTTTTAAAAAATTATTTCTGCTTCCAATTAAATCATAACACCTAACAGATACTATAAAAACTATTTTTAATAAGGTTCACTTTAAAAATCTAAAATTTTAAGGTAGTGACTTATAGCAACCTGCCAGAATTTTGGATGAAAGGAACAAACAAGGAATGTTTTTCTTCTTTTTTTCCTTTGAAGTGCATTACATAACTAACCAGTTTGGTTAAGCAGCTCTCCTCTGTTTCACAAAATAATATTTAATTCAGGAAAACCAATCAAAAATACATACTAATGCTAACATACCACATAGTCAAACAGTTCCCTGGAAAATACTGAAAATCATTAAAAAACCCCTAAATCTACACATGGAAAAATTTCTAATTATTACATACATAGTGGGTAAAAAGTAAAAGCCTTCAGTCATCTGTACCTTGCTCTGCCAGCAATGGAGGTGACATCTCCAGCAGTGGAGAACTGCAGTGATTTGGCTGCTCCTCCTTTCTTTGAAACAAACTCTGGGCAGATCCCCAGTGCTCTCAGTCTGTTTGAATAATACTTTTCTGCAGCTATTCTGGCATTTCTCTGTGGAAAAACCACAATGGTTAAATGTTATCTAATGCATTAAATGCCTGGCTTTTGATACTTTAATTTATATCAATCCTCTGATTCATTAATTGCTGCTGACAACTGGAAATGATTATTCACTGCAGGTAAGAATAGCAAAATACTTGAAAATTTTATCCCAGATTTTACTCTGCTGTACCAGCAATGCTTGGTTGTGGTCAGAGTTACTCATGTTGGAACTGAACCATTTACAACAGTTCTCTGTTCCCTGTGCAAGCACATCTCAAAAATCACTGACATTTACATGGAGATGAGGCAGCAGAGATTGAATGGAGAAACACTGCCCTGAAAAGTGCTTTTGAAGTATCTTCTCAAAATGTCAGACCACAAATTTCTTATTCAGTATCAGTCAAGATTAATTAGTAATTCAGAAACAAGGCAACCTGAGTGACTCTTTCAAAAAGCAGTGGCATTTGTTTTACTCTTTCTTCCATTTCTTGCAATTCTTGCAAATATTCCTGCCTTCTCTGCTTCTCGTTGTTCCTACGGGGAGCAGAGTACAAGAGAAATCATTATTAATTTATTGTACAAGGAGTCATTTTCTACAGCAGTTAAATTGCTCATAACAAATTAAATGTTGTTGTACTTCAAGATACATTAGAGGTACTGAACAACTCATCTCTGAAGGAGTCACCTTGGCTAAGCAGAGGCAGGTCCTGGCTACTGGACTTAAATAAAGGCTGAGTTTGGATTCTTGGAGTTTTTGGTAAAAAAAAATTTGGATGTTTAGGGGCTTTTTACATGCTTATCATACAGATCTTCCAGTTGTTCTAAGCAAAATGAAACAGAACACACCCCAGGAAATTAAGAGCATTAAATAAAAATCAGTACGTGTAATTTTTCCTTGATTACTGTGCAGTTCTAAAAATGCCTTTATTTACAAGCAAACAGAACCTTCTCTGCCTCCTAGTTCCATAACCACTCTAAAAATAAATCATTAGAGATGTGATGCGTAAATCTTTATGCCATTTCCATAACTTACTGTGAAATGACAGGGATTCAGTCATTTTCTACAGCAGTTAAATTGCTCATAACAAATTAAATGTTGTTGTACTTCAAGATACATTAGAGGTACTGAACAACTCATCTCTGAAGGAGTCACCTTGGCTAAGCAGAGGCAGGTCCTGGCTACTGGACTTAAATAAAGGCTGAGTTTGGATTCTTGGAGTTTTTGGTAAAAAAAAATTTGGATGTTTAGGGGCTTTTTACATGCTTATCATACAGATCTTCCAGTTGTTCTAAGCAAAATGAAACAGAACACACCCCAGGAAATTAAGAGCATTAAATAAAAATCAGTACTTTTCAGGTCTGAAGGAGAGAATCTTGCTACTTTAGCAGCTGATCTCCTGAGAGAGGTGGCCACGGTCTGGATCATGGAACACTTGTTTCCTGAGCTGGTTTGTCAAGGGCCCAGTCAATAGAGCAGGATAATGAAACTGGATTCATAACTGAAATGATCCCTGGGATCACAGGGAGCATTGGATAATCCAGGTGGAATGGGTTGTGACCCTTCCTCAGAGTGGGACAGTGCCTCTGAACTGGGCACATCTGCCACTGCAGGTCAGGCACTTCAGGGCAAGGATGAGATCAAGGGGGGCCTTTTACACCTCTGCTTCCTCCAGCTCTCCCCCTGACCACCTCTGAACTCCTCACCATGCTGGGAAGTGAACTTCCATTCCTTGCTCTGAATGTCTGTCTGTCTGCCTCTGACAGGGAGTGTCAGAGTGACACATTCCAGCTGGGCTGAAATGGGCAATATCAGCTTCACCAGGAAGTGATCTTCCTTTGCAACAGCAGCATTTTACACCCAGACCCCCAGCATTTTACTCTCCTGACATCTGATTAAGCTGAACACTGTAGTGTGAAATTTGCTGCTGAATAAACCCAAATCACATCCACAGTCACCTATGTGTCTCTTAACTCTCTGTCCCAGAGTCAGCAGATCCTGTGCTTGAGGACACATGGATTATCAAGCTCCTGTTATTAACAGTGTGCCAGGTTACTGGAAATTAGGATTTGTGCTTGCTGCCCCAGAATCCTGCCCAGGCATGAAGCAACAGGGGCAGAGCAGTCAGTGCCTCTCACCCTCCCCACACAACAGCACCTTCAACTGACAATACTGCAGCAGTCCCACCGTGCCAGGCCAGATCACAAACCCACTAAAGACTTGTGCACACAGGATTTATTTTTCTTAGGATTAGAAAAGCAGAAAGGGTTAAATTAGCCCCAGACAGGAGGCCAAGCAGCAGTCATGGGGTTAGAGCTGTGTCAGAGCTGGAGCCATCTGGAGTGGCAGCTTACAGCACTCCGAGAAGGCTCTCGTGTTCTTCTCTGTGTCATACACAAAGAGTCTTTGCACTGCATCTCTACTCCAGGGAACCTGGGATCCCATTCCTGAGCTCCAGCAGCTTCCTCACTCACTGCTCTTACACTGTGAAGTTAAAATATTCCTGCTTTTATTGCCCTCTTCAGTGGGCACCTGCTGGGACAAAAGTGAATTGTGAAAGGTTTGCTGCTGCACTCAAGCTGTACCAACACCAGTGCAGTATCCAGGTCTGGAATAATATTCTGTATCCACACTGTCCCCTTTCCTTCTCATTTTTACAACCTTTTCCTGTTTTGATACATCAATGGAGAAAACACAGGACTCTCCTGTTACTGAATCTATAATAATCTCATGTGGAATATATATCTATTTCTATATGCTATATATTTCTATACTCTGAGTTCAATATAGGTTGGCAACAATTTCCCAGTTGAGATGCTAATTTTGACCACTTTTTCACCAGCTGCCTGCACCATGTTTAATTTACCACATGTAAGTATCTAAACTTAGACTATGCTATTTTTTTACACACTGTATGTTTAACATACAGTGCAATCCCAAACCTCTCCTTCTCATTGTTGAATGAGGTGTTTGGGATTCTGGGGAATGCTACTAAATACCTGAATGTTTTTAATCTGGGTTTAGACATCTGAGCTAGGCTCTGATGTGGGTCATTGGCCTCAGCCCGAGCCATCACAATTTTCTGGAATTTTTTCGTTCTTTGTTTCTGCTTGTTTCTGTTCCTTTTTTGTTGTTCTTCCAGCTTTCTTTTTTCCTCGAGGGAATTCCTGGTGGGGAAAATAAACTAAGGCTGAATTAATTTTAAACCTAGAGCAAGGCTTCAAAGGAAGCTTTGGCAAAGAGAACAACAGGGTGAAAACAGGGTTGCTGTGAGAGGACACAATGTATGTGCCATTTCAAGGGATTCAGGATATCCTGGGAAACCAAAGTCATTTGTCTTCTTCTTAGGGACATGCTGACAAAAATCCAATAGTGTTCCTTTAACAATAACAAATACTAATTAAATCCTATATTTAAATATTTTGAGATTTATACTGTAAGCTCTTATATTAACAAATTAATCCTATATTCACTGCATGGAAGAATTAACTATAGATGTAGAAATACCAAAAATAACACCAAATAAAATACCAAATATATGCTAATAATAAAAAAAAAAAATAAAAAAATCTACTTTTCAAACATACATAAAGTAGAGCATCTCCAAGCAGTCACCTTAGGGCTTGCAGCCGTCGTCTGGTGGATTCTGTGGTTTTGGGAGCTCTGGATTTTCCTTCTGCCAGGAGAGGTGGCTTTACCCCTGACTGCCCCATCTGAGGCTTCCGTCTCGGAGAGGCAAAGGGCCACCGTGTTTCCTTCAACTTCTCCTCATCCTCTTGCATGTCCTTCAAGATCTTGTCCTTTTTTGAGGGAATGTACGAAGTACAAAGGTCGAAAGGCTCACAGACCGTGAGGGGTTTCACTTTTTTTTGGCGCAGGAGGCGTTTCTGGAATTTCTCATGTAGGAGTTCAAAATCGGGAACGCTCGATTTGATCTTGAGTTTGTGCTCCGTTTGCTTTGGTTCAGTGCTCTTGTGTTTCTTCTTTTTGTTGGTCTCTTTTGAGGCCAGTCTGCTGTTGGGTACAGACGAATTTTGTAGCAGCTCCTCAGCTCTCATCCTGATCCTGATTTCCCTGCAGAGCTCCTCCTCCTTTACCTTGTCATGGAAATCTGGACTATAAACACATCTGGGGACTGGTTTCGCTCTGAACACTTTGGTTTTATTGTCAGGTGGGGAAAGGTCTTTTAACTGCATTTTCCTGGCTTCACGCCTTTGCCTCTCTCGCTCAATGAACTTAAAGGGCTTTTGGGTGGCCAGGAGCCTGAGCTTGCTCCTCTCCCTCACAGTCCTCCTGCGCTCCTCGTTCCGCCGCACGATGTCCCGGTAGAGCGGCAGGAACACGGTGGCGGGCACGGGATTGGCTCGGAACTTTTTCTGACACTCTGCTTCCTCCTCCAGCTGCTTCTTCAGCAAGTGGTTTTCCAGCTCAATCTGTGACTTGGATTTGACGTTCTGCTCTTTCTTCTGAGCTTCTCTGATGGTCATCTGGAAGGGCTTGGGCACGGTGACTCTGGGGGACCACGCTTTCACTTTCGCTTTCCTGCAGGCTGGCGAGCTGGGCAGGCTGTGCTTGGCACGGGACATGTAGTCTTCCAGGCAGAACCCATCCCACATTTTTTCAATCTGCTGTTTGGCAAAGGAGGATGAGCCAGCTTCGCTGCCGTTCTCTTCAAACACTAATTCTTCATCAGACACGTCCGACACGCTCGAGCCCAAGGGATCGCTTAAGTCTGAGTCTGAAAAGGATTTGTGCAGGTTAAGAGGCTGATATGAACTCTTGTCCCAAGTTGGCCTTGAAAATAAAGGAGGGGGAAAAAAAAACTTGGTTTGAGCCAGTCCAACACTGATGCAAAACTGGTGACTTCCACTCTAAGGAATCATCACTAGAGACAAAAACGAGTGGCTGAGTGGGGAGAGAAGGGAAAAGAGCAGCACACAGGGTACTCAAAGCAGCCCCTGGTTTTAGTGCTGATCACCAAGTCAGCACCTCCTGACTTGGGAAAAGGCCTGTGCTTTCCTAAATGTGCTGCCCAACCCCTGCTGCACACCCACCTCTAAACCTCACAGACCATTAGCAAGGTAATGAGCCTTTCTATCACTAAAACTGGCTTTTCTCTGATTATCTGGTTAGGAGAGGTGGGGAGCGGAACACTTTCCAGCCCAGAAACACACCCTGCTGTTTTACAGCTGCCTGCAAAGCATTTGGGAATCTTCAAATAAAAAGTGCCCCCAAACTTACCTACAGCACTTTGGAGAAGTGTCATTTGTCTTATCCAAGGCTTGTACTCCTTTTAAATACAGCTTGTTCTGATACATACTTTCCAGTTTTGCCATGGTCTCCATGTGGGCATTCTTCAACTCTTCCAGCTTCAAGTAATACTCCTGATTTGAATTGTGCATTTTGGAAAAGTCTGTCCACTTGTCACAGTCTCTCTTTGGAGGGGAGGCCTGCTCTCTCTTGGTATTTGAATCCAAGTCAAAGCCATCCTAGAAGAGATGTTTGTAATTTTTTTTCTGCTAGAAGGAAGGGGAACAAGGTTCTTAATATTGCTTTAGCCTAATTAAGTCTAAGGAATAGTAAAGTAACACAAATAGAGATACCTGTATACAAATGTTAATGCAGAAGTACACAGAATTGCATATTAATTTTTATCCTAAGGGTCCTATTTAAAGCCTGTAAAAATTCCCAAGTCTGCCCTGTAATCAATATGTTTCTAAGAGGAAATATGATCATAAGGACTTAGCAAAAGAAAAAAAACAACTATTTTGTAAAGAAAAGTGCCCCCAAACTTACCTACAGCACTTTGGAGAAGTGTCATTTGTCTTATCCAAGGCTTGTACTCCTTTTAAATACAGCTTGTTCTGATACATACTTTCCAGTTTTGCCATGGTCTCCATGTGGGCATTCTTCAACTCTTCCAACTTCAAGTAATACTCCTGATTTGAATTGTGCATTTTGGAAAAGTCTGTCCACTTGTCACAGTCTCTCTTTGGAGGGGAGGCCTGCTCTCTCTTGGTATTTGAATCCAAGTCAAAGCCATCCTAGAAGAGATGTTCGTAATTTTTTTTCTGCTAGAAGGAAGGGGAACAAGGTTCTTAATATTGCTTTAGCCTAATTAAGTCTAAGGAATAGTAAAGTAACACAAATAGAGATACCTGTATACAAATGTTAATGCAGAAGTACACAGAATTGCATATTAATTTTTATCCTAAGGGTCCTATTTAAAGCCTGTAAAAATTCCCAAGTCTGCCCTGTAATCAATATGTTTCTAAGAGGAAATATGATCAAAAGGACTTACCAAAAGAAAAAAAGTAACTATTTTGTAACTATTTTGTATTTTGTAACTATTTTGTCCAGATGTAATTTTTCCTTGATTACTGTGCAGTTCTAAAAATGCCTTTATTTACAAGCAAACAGAACCTTCTCTGCCTCCTAGTTCCATAACCACTCTAAAAATAAATCATTAGAGATGTGATGCGTAAATCTTTATGCCATTTCCATAACTTACTGTGAAATGACAGGGATTCTGCACGGCTTATATTTCCAATACTTACATTTCCAATACTGCTTGTCCCTTTGCAGCTGTGTGCAGTTAATTTTCTTTAAGCACTTTTGAAGCTTACACTAGTCAGAGAAGTTATTAAAGCGTCACAAAAGCTTCATTTTGTTCTAGGCAGCACGTTTTAAAAAGTTATGGGCTAGTTTCTACATTAAAAAGAAAATTGAGTACTACTTTTACACGCAGGGGTATTTTAATAAGCTTTGACACTCCAACAACAACAAGAAAAAAAATTTTGCCTATGTTTTCTCAGGTTTTCACTGCAAAAATCATTAAGTGTTGGAGAATTCCCTGATGCAGTGGGACTTTGGGGATCGAAGCAGCGAGTTTGAAGCGCCCACAGCGAACCTCCTGCAGCGGTGTGTACAAACGCAGCCCCGCGGAGCCGCCGCGGCCCTTCCCGGCCCTTCCCTTCCCGGCCCTTCCCTTCCCTTCCCGGCCAGGCCGGGCCAGGCCAGGCCAGGCCAGGCCGGGCAGCTCCATCTGCTCCGCAGCCGCCTCCACAAGCGCATTAAGGGATCGGCGCCGCGGCCGGGCCATCTGCCGGCTGTCCCCCGCCCGTGTGCGTGTCCCCGGTGCCCCGGCGGTGAGCCCTCGGCAGAGCGGGCTCGGGGGAAGCCCGGGCCGTGCCCGCGGTACCTGCGCGGCGGCGGGCGGCGGTCCCCGCTCGTAGAGCGCGGCGGGCGCCCGTGTGCGCGGGTCGAGCGGCGTGCGGAGGCAGGAGGCGGCCAGGCGGGCGGCCCGGTGCGCGTCCTCCATGCCCAGAGCAGCCGGGAGGCGGCTCCGCTCCGCTCCGTTCCGCTCCGTTCCGCTCCGCTCCGCCTCGCGGAGGCGGCCCCGGGGCGGAGCGCGGCGCGTTAACGCCCGGCCCGAGCGCCGCCGCCGGACACGGGCGGGGCCGGGCCGGGCTTCGCCCGCTCGCCGCCGCTGCCCGTGCGGATTCTAGGCGGCTTCTCACCAGGATTTTAGTGGGAACATGCAATGCTCGCTGGCGAGCCCGCGCTTTTCGCGCCCTCAGCTTATTAAAGAAGGTTTTTCCATCTTGAAGTTTGTACTTCAGGTAAGCAGTATCAGGGTAAGCTTAAACCAGGCTAAGCAGGAGCATTCTGTCCTAGGAATAGTCTATCCTAAACCAGGATAAACAGGAATATTCTGTGCTAGGAATATTCTATCCTAAACCAGGATAAACAGGAATATTCTGTGCTAGGAATATTCTATCCTAAACCAGGAATATTCTGCCCTAAGAATATTCTATCCTCTACAGGACAAGCAGGAGCATTCTGTCCTAGGAATAGTCTATCCTAAACCAGGAGAAGCAGGAATATTCTGTCCTAGGAATATTCTATTCTAAACCAGGCTAAGCAGGAGCATTCTGTCCTAGGAATAGTCTATCCTAAACCAGGAACATTCTGCCCTAGGAATAGTCTATCCTAAACCAGGATAACCAAGAATATTCTGTGCTAGGAATATTCTATCCTAAACCAGGATAAACAGGAATATTCTGTGCTAGGAATATTCTATCCTAAACCAGGATAAACAGGAATATTCTGTGCTAGGAATATTCTATCCTAAACCAGGAATATTCTGCCCTAAGAATATTCTATCCTCTATAGGTCAAGCAGGAGCATTCTGCCCTAGGAATAGTCTATCCTAAACCAGGATAACCAAGAATATTCTGTGCTAGGAATATTCTATCCTAAACCAGGATAAACAAGAATATTCTGTGCTAGGAATATTCTATCCTAAACCAGGATAAACAAGAATATTCTGTGCTAGGAATATTCTATCCTAAACCAGGATAAACAGGAATATTCTGTGCTAGGAATATTCTATCCTAAACCAGGAATATTCTGCCCTAAGAATATTCTATCCTCTACAGGACAAGCAGGAGCATTCTGTCCTAGGAATAGTCTATCCTAAACCAGGAGAAGCAGGAATATTCTGTCCTAGGAATATTCTATTCTAAACCAGGCTAAGCAGGAGCATTCTGTCCTAGGAATAGTCTATCCTAAACCAGGAACATTCTGTCCTAGGAATAGTCTATCCTAAACCAGGATAAACAGGAATATTCTGTCCTAGGAGTATTCTATTCTAAACCAGGAGAAGCAGGAATATTGTCCTAGGAATATTCTATCCTAAACCAGGAACATTCTGCCCTAGGAATAGTCTATCCTCTATCAGGACAAGCAGGAACATTGTTCCTCTACAAAGAAGAATTAATGCTGGATGGACCTGTTTAATGTAGTGTAATCACAAATACTTTTTGTAATGAAATCACAGACAATTGCTGTAATTCTTGTCAAGAATTGTAACTCTGTGATAAAGGGGGATGAAAGCTTTAATCATAGTACCTAAACTAAGATCATTGTTGGATGTGACCCTGTGGGGTAAGGCACTATTTGCAATTTTAAACACACAATGAATAATTAATGCAGAGCATTAATGCCTAAATCAATTGTCTAATTTATTAATTAGTAGTTGAATTATTCTATTTGTTCTACTTGGCACAACAGCAGATCAACACCACGCTGGAAATTCACTCAAAAGCTCCAGTTCCAACCCACCATGAATGGAAATGAGAGAAGAAATGGAACACTCTCCTTTAAACACCAAGAGGAATCAGGTTGTTTCAATATAGCAACAATGGAGATGAAAGGGTTAATTCAGTATGTCAGGCTAAGAATTAGAAGTTGGAAAGCCAATTTGCATTATTAATAGAACAGTGTACTTTTAACCTCTCAGCCAGCTTTGGGAAAGGCAATTAGGCAGGGGAGGGAACCGTGTGAAGAACACCCTGGGCAGGGCTCTGGCTCATGGGATGGCAGCAGGAATCAGCGCAGGGCTCGGGAGAGCAAGGAAGGGGAGGTGCTCCCACTGCAAAGATCCTCCTAGAGGCACCACTGAGGGCAGAACCACCACTGCCTCAGGGAAAGCTTTGGGAGAGGCAGCTCTAAGGTAGCTAAGTGTTACTAGAGCGCGCTGCAGGGGGGTTTTTAGAATATGTCACAAAAAGAGATCGGTCACCTTAAAAGTTTCAGCCCTAAAGAGGAGCAGAGAAAAGCAAATGTAACCAAATGTAACAAACTCCAACAAAATTATACAGCAAAGAGTCAGGTAGACTACTGTGTGTTTATTGACAAAACAGCATTTTCTTTCTGAAAACCAACTGTTACTTAAGTTAAACCTGATCAAAGTACATCAGTCTTGGAGTTTAAGCCAATTCACACAGGCGCTTTTGGTGAGGAGTCCATATTCCAGCTACAGGGCAGGAGCTCGAGACCATGGTCCCCACATCTCTGCTCAGCTCATCCTCGAGTGTTCACCTGCAGGAGGACACACAGTCAGGCAGAAGAAAGCACAGGATACATCACAATTCCTTCTTTGATAAAGATCCTGGCCTTTTAGGGACTCTAATTCCTTGCTTTATGGTGCAGTATTTATAATTCATTAGCTGCAGTTATTAAAAGGCTGAATGGTCTTAAGCAGCACACAAACTGAGAATACTCCACACAGTAACTCCATTTTGAGGCCCAGCAGATGAATGACAACATGCTGGTGCCTGTGGAGGAAGGATAACCCAAACCAAGCTGCCAGCACCACTCACCACATCATCAATCTTGAGAATGCTGCGCACGGTTTCTGTGGCCAGGGTCAGTGCACTCAAAGACACCAGCAGAGGCTGCACCACCAGCTCCTCCAGGATGTTGGAAATGCCACCCTAGGGGAACAAGGAGCCTTCACTTTGTGCAAGACACACTACAGTCACATTTAGCACTTTTTCTTTTAGCAGAATCCTGAGGGCAATCAACTCCTGGACTATCACAGGGCTTTCAGTTGCAACAGGGGCATTACAGCACACATCTTCTCTCCCCAAGCACTTGACACATCCAGTCAAAATTAGCCAACAACAAAGGTCAACAGTGCCAATTGAGAAAGAGCTGTGGTGCTACTCCCAACTTATGACACCTTCCACTGCAGATCCTACTGATGGATCATTCTAAATGGATCTTTTGCTGTAGCTAAAACGCTTTTGTGGAGACGTGAGATGATTCCTGTCACGTGCATAAAGCATTTAATATCTGCTATTACCAACGCTCAGGGTGAGCTCCTGAGAGAACAAGCTGTAATTTCCCTCTGCTCATTTTAGGGAGGCTACCACCTTGCCCTCTCCCTAGTCCAGCCCTTAGGAGGTTAAGCATGTCTCCTGCTACTCCAACCCCTCCTCACCTTCCTGACGTTAATGCCAGCTGTCTTCTCTCCTTGGGCATGTCTGTTTCGGAGCTCTGTCACCGTGGAGATGGGGTTGAGCCCCGCGTTCTCAGCCAGGGTGGAGGGGATGACCTCGAGTGCATCCCCGTAGGCACGGACGCAGTAGGAGTCCATCCCCTTCAGCGTCCGCGCGTACTCGTTCAGCCGCAGCGCCAGCTCGATCTCCGGGGCTCCACCGCCAGCAATCAAAGCCCTGAGGCACAGGAATGCCCATCAAACCTCACCTCACACAAGAGCACACACTACCAGGCTTTGTGAGTTACTAATTAACGTTACCTTTTCTTCACCAAGCACCTTATGACACACAGGGCATCGTGAATGGAGCGCTCGGCTTCCTCCAGCACGAGTTTGTTGGATCCGCGGACCACGATGCTCACGGTTCTCCCAGGGTTTGTGCAGCCTGTAATCTAAAACATAAAGCCAGATACTGGCACTGGGGAAGAAATAAAAACTTGGCACAAGAAGACACTGCCACTGGCACTTTCAAATTCTGTAACAGCACTGATGTCTGGCCAAGCAAAACCACTGCACTGCTGAAGTCAGTGGCTACTCAGAGCTTAGAAATAGCTACTTAAATGTAATAAATTCCACAGTAAAAAACATCAAAGCCACCAGTTCTTAAAACAACAGACAGATGGCAAGTAGTTATTAACATTTTGTCCCTCACTCACCTTTATTAGTTTCCCAGAACCGTTCAAGTTGACCTCCTCTGCCAGCTCAGCAGAGCCCAGCATGTCAGGGGTGAACTGGTCAATGTGAGCCACAGGCTTAGTTCCAATTGTCTGGAAAAATAATGGGGAAAAAAATTAATCCAGAGGCTGACTGCAGAGTCAGCAAGTACACTGCATGTTCTTCTTCTGCATATGACAGTAAAAAACAGAAGGGACTGCAGCTTTTACATCTGTCCTGAATCCTTCTACAGAAGTGTGGCTGCTCAGCAGAGCAGGAATGTTTTTTAGGGCAATGTCTGCTCTTCCATTACAGTCACAACATGTAACTTTTGAAAATGTCACAATAAACTGGCCCTGGCTGGGCAGTTAGTTTTGGGGTAGATTTTAAAGCACTGCTGCTCATTTATATGACCCACCTTACCTTACATATAAACTCAATGTCCTCTCTTTCAATGTCTTTAACCACCATGATCTTAACTTTGTTCAGAAAGTGGAGGGCCAGGTCACTGAGAGCATCCCTAAAAACAAGAGGGAAGGAGTCAGGTCCCAGGGCTCAAAATCTTCAGAGTACAAAGCAAGGATGCCATCAAACTCAAAATACAGACAGTGCTGGTGCTTTCTAAAGGCACAGCCACTGTTACTCTGCCAAGTGTGTTTGGCTTCAGTTTTCCAAACAATTCCAACGGTGCCTGGGTATTAAGGTACCTCAGGATGGACTTCTGAATGAGCAGCACATTGCAGCCAGCCTTCTTGATCTGCTTCACCAGGTTCAGGATGTAGGCTCTCTCCTCACGCAGCACTCTGTCCATTTGAGCATAATCAGAAACAACAATCTGGTTGTCCATCTGTTTCAAATAAAAAAACAGAAAA